CATCTTCTTGATGAGTGATGTGGGAGAGCCCAGCCCACTGTGGGTGGTGGTTGCATAAGAAAGCAGGCTGAGCAGGGGCCAGGGGAGCAAGTCAGTGTGCAGAGTTCCTTCATGGCCTTTGCTCGAGCTCCTGCCTTGAGGTTCCTCCCCTGAGTTCCTACCTTGGGCTCCCTGATGAACTGTGACCTGGGAGATGTAAGCTGAATAAAACCTTTCCTCCCCAAGTTGGTATTGGTCAGAGTACTTTGTCACAGCAATGAAGAACAAATTAGGACACTGTTAGAAAACACCCAGGCACAGCACCATGATTCTGGTGAAACAGAATACAAAAGCGATAGAGAATGCCCTCTGTTCATCTGTCTGGTAGAGTCATCACTGGCCCAGTGGGCAGCATTATGGGGTGAGAGGGAGGTCTCATCACTGGAGGCCAGGCACCACTGACGTGGCCTCCCATCGATGCCCTCATTCCAGGAGTGGGTCCCATAGGCATTACGCCAAGAGGAGGAGGGCCCATCACTGGCATCATGGAAGGGCCTCCCAGGTGGGGTGCTGGTATCCCACCAGGGGAGGATTACCCAGGAGACTGGGGGGAGGTAGGATCATGGCCCATGCAGAAGGAGCAGAGAATGGGGCTTGTTGAAATGTGGCCACTGTTCTGTCAGTCAGGCTGAGCCTGCTCTTCCCTTTTGATAGCAGTCCTTCTCTGTTTCCTACCATTGCAGGTGTCTTTCTCACAGAGACTCATGGGTGAGGTATATATTGTAATAGTCACAATAAAATTTGGGCATGTTGCTCTGCAGGTGGTTGGCTACACAGCCAGCACATGGCAACATGGCAGGGAGTCCTGGGAAACCATGTTCCTGGATTATCCTACTGCCCCAGGGTGTGATTCCAGATAGCATTTACTTTGGCAATATTCTCTCCCTCCCCCTCCCTCTCTCCCCTCACTCTGTACCCCAGGCTGGCCTCAAATCATGATCCTCTTGCCTCAGTCACTATGCCCAGCAGATGTCTATGTGCCCAACAGCAGCTCTCTCCTGAATTTCCTTCTTTCCTTCTCCCCCTCTCCTCCCCCCCCCCCCCCCCCCCCCCCCCCCCGTGTCTGCTAGGCAAGTGCTCTACTTCTAAGCTACATCCCCAGCTCGAATTTCCTTTTTAAGTGGCAGTTATGTAACCAACCCAGCGGAAAACACATGCTACCTTTTGTATTGCAAGATCCCAAAGGGTAAAGTTCAAGATAAACACAGAATGCCACATATATCCATGCTTCCCCCAACATCTAGAACTGCCTAAGGTTAGCCTGGGGTCAAAGATAAAGGGGAGCCATCTCCCTAGACTTGCTGGAGACAGCCTGGCACCTGATCTGAGTCTTCCCTCCCCTGCCACCCCTAGGGTCAATGTGTTTTGTATTCCTGTATTCCTCATCACCACTCCCAGGATGGGAGAGTTACTTCTACTATGGAACCTCTGCCAGCAAATGTGAGACTTTAATTTGTCCTTACACTTAAGAGTGGAAACTTCTATCTTGCCTGACCCCTAGCCCTGGCCCATTCCTCTCCCTCCGACCTGTTCCCATATGCTGCTCACATCAACTCCTGGATGCTTTACATTGGCTTCCCAGTAAATGACCCTTTCCCTGGCTCCTTCAGCACAAAAATCATACACATTTTCATAAACGGCAACCGGGCATAAATTCAATATTTACTCAACAGCACTTCCATGCCAAGTACTGTGCTAGATATTGAGACTACAAATATGAGCATGCAAACTTGGCTCCTCCCTGCTGATTTCAACGATTTAACCCAATTGTTCCTTAAATATTTACATTTCTTTTTCTGACCCACAGGGTCTGGTCACAAGGCAGCATGCATTTGTTCATGTTGGGCAGAACTCAGCTTGAAGCCTGGTCTTTTTGAGTCAGGGTCTCCTTGTATCTCCAGGGAGACCTGGAACTTGCTGGTCTGGAACTTGCTATGTAGACCAAGCTGGCCTCAAACTCACAGAGCTCCACCTGCCTCTGCTTCCTGAGTGCTGGGATTAAAGGCGTGTGCTACCAAGCCTGGCTGAAGCCTGGTTTTAAATTTACAGCTTAAGATCTCCTTGAGCCCCAGTTTTCTCACTTCTAATTCAGGGCAACAACAACTAGCTTAAAGCATGGCAGATGGGTGAAGGGAGGATTCATGTAAATGCCCTCAGTTTAGGGCCAGGTAGGTAACTAGTGATCAGTAAGCTTGATTCTTAGATCAGGCACTATGGACACTTGTCCACACACATTCTGAACTCAGCTTGACCCCAAGACCACAAACATGATTGAAGCCCAGTCACTTGTAACCCAAGTATACCCCATGGATTCAGCATCTAGGTCACACAGAACACTATTTGTGGCCCCTGATTTTTTTTTTTTTTTTTTGAGACAGGATCCAGCTGGCCTGGAACTTGCTATGTAGACCAAGCTGGCCTCAAGCTCACAGCCTCTGCCTCTGCCCACCGAGTGCTGAGATTAAAGGTGTGCACACCACTCCTAACTGTGGTCCCTGAATTGTAAGGAACTGGTTTGTTACTATCAAATTATAAAAAAGTTATGGTGGTTGCCAACTCATAAGCAGAAGTAACTAAGGTAGGGTCCAGAGAAACTTTCTATGAGACTTTGTAGACTCCTAAAGGAGCAGCAAGCCACACAGTCAGTAGAGAGAGTGCATACATTCTATTTTTCATTTGTTTTTTGAAGCAGGGGCTCACTCTGTAGCTCAGGTTAGTTTGGAACTCACTATGTAACCCAGGCTAGCCTAAAACTCATGGGTGATCCTCCTGCCTCAGCTTCCCTAGTGCTTCAACCCCAGGCATGAGTCACCACACCTGGCTTAGTGGGAAGATATCTCATTGGACAACAAAATGTCACCCAGAGCATTCCTTGGCCCACCAAAGGTTTTTGCTCATTCTGACAGTCTCTCAGGAGCACAGGAAGTTCCCATTCTGAGCACTTTGTTAACAGTGATGATCTGCTTGGGTGGGTATCAGAAGTTCATACTGTCCCTGTCCACTTTTTGTTTTTTTGAAACAGAATCCCATCAGCCCAGGCTGGCCTTGAACTCCTGAGCTTCCTGCCTCCACATCCAAAGTGCTGGGATTACAGTGTGGGCATCCAGCTAACACCTTGTGACTGCCGTATGTATAGGATCAGTCTTTCCTACAACTGTACCAGAGCTTGTCCATCTAGTTCTTTGCTTCTTAAATTGTTGCTTATATAAACTGTGTTGCAATGAACTTTTACAAAAAAATGTGGTAAAGAAGGCAGCCACAGGGAGAATTTATCCACTCCCCAGTCCACACCCTCAAACTGAATCAGGCTTTAGGACCCAGATACTTTGTGCCTCATCTTCAGGTGATTCAGATAAGATCAAGGGCCTCCTCCTGTGGTCATTTAGGTTCTTTTGATGTTCACTTCCTTCAGGCCACCTTAGGTGAACAGCTTGCCAAGGAACAACAGTCCCTGCATTTTTTTTTTTTTTTTTTTTTTTTTTTTTTTTTGGTCTTTCTGAGACAGGGTCTCCCTGTAGCTCCAGCTGTCCTGGAACTCACTATGTAGACCAGGCTGGCCTTACTCACAGAAATCCGCCTGCCGAGTGCTGGGATTAAAGGGATGCGCCACCACACCTGGCTTAGTCCCTGCATTTTTGGCTTGTGTTATGAAAAAGATATTATATTTTTTCCTCGGATTGACCCTTAGTAGTATTCCTTAAAATTACATAATGTTCATTTGCCCATTGTGCCTGTGAGGACAGTGGCTTCATCCTGAACCAGAAAAACAAATACACTGCAGAGCTAGGAGCCAGAGCCCCAGTGTCCTCAGTCAGCAGCCACCCAGGGGGATTGATGGTCCCTTTTCTCCCACCTAGTGTTGCAACATCCATGGAATTTTCCAGTTAAGAGCTTGCTTTTGGAAGCCTAGATGTGAACCCAGACTTTGTCACTGAGGGTCTTTGGGGAAGTCTCTAAACCTCTTTGCAACTCAGGCTCTTCAATTGTAAAATGGAGATAATCGCAGGTCCAACCTCACAGGTCTGTTGGAAGGCTTAAAGGCAGGGAATGCTTAGAATGCTGCCCTGCACAAATGCTGTTTTGTGTGTGTGCGTGTGTGTGTGTGTGTGTGTGACAAAACTTATTAACTATGAGGTGCCCATACCAAGGGTCTGAGGCCCAGCATCAACACACAAGGCCTCACTGAGTCCTGGTACTGCAGAGCCTGGGGCAGGAGGATTGCAATCAGCCTGGACTACAAAATTAGATCAAGACCAGCCTTGGCAACTTCAGACTCTAAAAGAGGGCTGAAGGACTGAGCTTGCCTGTCAAACACCACTACAAGGTCAGGTAGGAGTGGCTGAGGCAGGATGATGGTGAATTCCAGGCCAGCCTGGGCTACATGAGAGTCTGTCTCAACACATCAAGACCTGTGTCCTGACTGACTTCCTGTTTTACAGGATAGCCACCCCCACTTGATGCACAAACAGATGGCATACTTCATAAAGTTTCTTCTGTGCGATTCCAGCACTTGACCCAAACTCGAAAAACTAAAGAAAAAAACCTTCCAAAGTCCTCTTGGGTAAGAAAGCGACCACTGGGCTTCAGCTTGATCAGGAAAAGATGCTCCTAGGCCCACCCCAGCAAAAGGGTTGGTCTCTCAGGTCCCCGCTTTTCCTTTGGAACTCCTTCAGCCCGGGTATGCGAGTCAGGAGTAAGGAATTTCGGGGTGAATGGAGGGAGAAGAGGGGCTGGGAGGGAGGTCTTCTGAGCGCGCGGCTCTGCGCAGACACTGAGGCGGCTGCAGGACCCAAAGGCCACCTCGCGAAAGCCACCGCGGCTGCACCGCAGCTGGATTAAAGGGACCAGGATAAAATGCTGCAGGACGGGTAGGGGCAGATGCGTGGAAACGTAACCATAGCGAAAGCCCCAGCCCTCCGCGGGGAAACTGAGGCCGAGGCCGGGAGCAAATCGGGTCTCACCTGGTTGTAGAAGACCTCGGGCTGCTCGTTGGGGGCCGGCACGGCGCTGGTGGCGGCGGCCGAGAGCAGGCGGCGGCCCAGGAGCGGTCCAAAGCGGGCGGTGGCGAACGCGGCGCGCAGCATGTCGTGCAGAGGCGATCTGAGTGGCGAGTGCCAGCCAACTGGGCTCAAGCCTGGCCTCCACCCCGCGCTCGACCCCGCCCCACGCCCCGCCCTGCGCTGCAGCCAACGGGCTGAGAGGATGCCGGGGCGGGACGTCGCACGGCAGCCGGGGAGGACCAGCCGCCCCTGATGCGGGCCAACGGGTTGCACCAGGGCGACCCTGACTTCCGGGACGACATTCTAGCGAGATACCCCAGCCCTAAACCAACACACCAGGCCATTAAGAGATGAGGACAGGCCGGGTGTGGTGGAGCAGGCCTGTAGTCCTAGCAGTTGGGAGGCAGAGGCAGGCGGATCTCTGTGAGTTCGTTTAATAAAAATATTAAATTACAAAAAAAAAAAAAAAAAAGAGATGAGGGCAGTGCAGATGAACGCGGTGCGCTGCGTTTCAGGGACCCGAGGGGCCTGAGTGAGAAACCTGGAGCGGAAGGAGCAAGTGCTGAGGCCCAGGACAATGGGGTCACCCTGGCAGGCGACACAGAAATGCGAGGAAGAGAGCCCGGCAGGGTCTCATCTGCGGGAGATGGGCCGTGGACGTGGGGATTTCGCGAATGCTTTTATTCCGTGGACACCCTAGGACTGGGCACTGGGGATGCGAGAAGGAAAAAGCGGGCCTCGGCTGGCGGCGGGTGGGTGGGTGGATGCCTGGTCGTATGTGTGCGTTCAACCAGGTAAGGCTGGAACAGCTCAAGGAGATGCTCCCTGACTGGAGCACAGATAGCAGTTTTGATGAAGATGCCCAGGAAAGGAGCAGAGCCCATGGAGCTGAGGTCCCATGAAATACCAAACGCAAGAGTGGTGGATCCATGAGCTGAGGAGACCCACAGAGTATACAGCTTTGTTTAGCTTTGCTTTGGTGAGCTTCTGTAAAACATAGGCCCTGAAATTCCAGTTTCTATACACAACAAAATCCGTGCTCAAATTGCTGTTCACGAGCGAGGACTCAGGGACCCAGGCCTGTCTTCTGATTTCAGCACAGTGCTGCTAAAGTTGTTCTAGAGGCCCAGAATCATTACACAAAGCCAAGGAGGGGAAGACCTATGGGAGCTTCTCTAGCTCAGCATGCTTCAGTCATTAGGTCTCAGTCATATGACCAATCAATCCTAGGTGGAAAGGAATCTGGGAAATGAGTGACATTATGAACCCAGTAAGAAGGAAAAGTGGGCTTGGAGACAGCTTCAGACAGGAAAGTGAGCCTCCCTATCTCCTCCAAGCATAGCTGCCCATTGGCACTTTCCCTCCCCAGCTGTACCTTGCTTTTCTGCCTCAGCAAGGTGGAGATCATGTTGTCAGAGTTAGGGAAGTATAAACAAAATACACTGTCTTTTTATTTGTTTAATTTTATCCATATGCACAAATTGCCAGCATGGTCAGAAGAGGCTGTCGGATCCCCTGCGACTGGAGTTACAGTTGTTAGCTGCCATGTGGGTGCTGGGATTCGAACCCCGGTCTTCTGTAAGAACAACTAGTGTTCTTAACTGCTGAGCCATCTCTCCAGCCCCTGTACACTCTTTTTTTTTATCAAAGGGTACATAAGACAAAACTCCATTAAAAAATTAAATTGTGAATAAAGTTTTAAAAAATTTAAAAAAAATTGTAAAGAAGCCAGGGTCAGCACTTCTTGAAATCAAAATACTTGCTCAAGTTTCATTTCTCACCTAGGCACTGCACAGCTCTGTATTAGCCAATTGTGTGAGTATTCGAGGCTGTGCTCTGAACACTCACAGTGAGGTACAGGATCCCTTTGCTTTAGGAATAAAACCCAGCCCAGTTTCTGCCTATATGCTTGCTCACTTTAGAACGCACCCTCCTGCAGAAGTAAAACCTTTGCCAAAATACTTTGGACCATGTAGTCATTTTCTTGATACCCCAGATCCATTCCTACAACAACACACAAGGAATATGCTTTTTTTTCTTTTCTTTTGGTCTTTTTGAGACAGGGTCTCCCTGTAGCCCCAGCTGTCCTGGAACTCACTATGTAGACCAGGCTGGCCTTGAACTCACAGAGTGCATTAAAGGCATGCACCACCATGCCTGGCCAAGGAATATACTTTTTAAATAGCTATTGGCTGTTTCCATTGACCACATGTACATTTTCATTTTTTATGACGTTTAGGTTGCTCCCAATCTTTTGCAACTACAAACAATGCCACAGTGTGTTGAGAAATTAACAGAATGGAACCTCTGAGTCCAAGGATATTTACTGTTTAAATATGAACAGCACTATTCACTATGCTTCTTGACTTATGGGGGCAGGGGGCTACAACCTCATCTGAAGTTGAAGTATCGTAAATCAAAAATACATTGAAAGTCCTGAATGGTGTGTGCGCACACCCCTTTAATCCCAGCACTTGAGAGGCAGATCTCTGTGAGATTGAAGCCAAACTGGTCTACATAGTGAGGCTAGCTAGTGCTACAAGTGAGAGTCTGTCTCAAAAAAAAGACTGTGGGGCTGGAGAGGTCGCTCAGCGGTTAAGATTACTGACTGCTCTTGCAGAGGGCCCCGGTTCAGTTCCCAGCACCTACATGGTGCCTACGAACCACCCTTAACTCCAGTTCCAGGGGAATCCAAAGCCCTCTTCTGACCTCCACATCACTGCATGACATGGCTACATTCACATACATGCAGGCAATATACTCGTACACATAAAATAAAATAATAAATAAAATATTTTAAAAAAGAGAGACTGCATTGAAAGTTTACTTTGGTGATACAGGCCTGTAATCTCAGGCACTTGGGAAGTAGAGGCAGGAGGATCAGGAGTTCAAGGTCAACCTGGCCTGCATGAAGAGTTCCAGGGTAGCCTGGGCTACATGAGACCCTCAAGCACATGCATTCTATATATGTAGCTTGCCACACAGCATATTGTGTGTTGCAGAGGCTTAAGAACACTCTAAGCCCACCCCCAGTGATGTGTTTCCTCCAGGATAGCCACACCTTCTAAGACCTCCCAAAACAGCACCACCATCTGGGGACAAAATGTCCAAATACTTGGAGCCTATGGGGGACAATTTCATTCAAACCACCAGAGTCTCTGTAGCCCAAGCTAACCTGGAACTCAGTATGTAGCCCAGGCTGGCCTTAAACTCATGGCAATCCTCCTGCTTTAGATTCCCAAGTGCTGGGATTACACTACACTCAGCTGTCATTCTTTTTGTTGTTTTGTTTCTTAATAAATTTTTTTTTCTTGGTCTTTTTGAGACAGGGTCTCCCTGTAGCCCACCTGCCTCTGCCTCCCGAGTGCTGGGATTAAAGGCATGGTGGCGCACATGGTGGCAGAGGCAGGCGGATCTCTGTGAGTTCAAGGCCAGCCTGGTCTACATAGTGAATTCCAGGACAGCTGGGGCTACAGGGAGACCCTGTCTCAAAAAAGACCAAAAAAAAATTTTTTTTTACTTATTATTTTTATTTTGTGTGTATAAGTGTATTGCCTACATGTGCATAAGTGCACCTATGGTGCACAATGCCCAAAGAGGTCAGAAGAGGGCCCTGGATCCCCTGGAACTGGAGTTATGGACAGTTGTTAGCTGCCATGTGGGTGTTGGGAATTGAACCCGGGTCCTCTGCAAGAGCAGCCAGTGCTCTTAACCACTGAGCCCTCTCTTCAGCCCCATTAACCAAAACTTTTAAGTCTAGAAGTGATGAGGCTACATGTGTGCTTTGGAGAGCTCTCTCTAGGGACAGCAGGGAAAATCAGTTGTATCTGAGACAGTCTGCTTGCCCAGAGCTGACTGGGAGAGAGTGTGGGATAGGAGTGGTGGGTGGCACATGTGAAGAGGACAGGTGAAGGATGGTGTAGGGTGCGGTTTCTACCATGTGCTGTTCTGGAGCATGAAGCCAGAGACTCAGGAAACTTACGAGAAAGAAAAGAAATGTGCTCCCTCTTCCTCCCCAGTCTCTTATACCTCAGGCTGGTTTTGAATTCATATTGACCTTGAAGGATGGCTTGACCTTGAACTTCTGATCTTCTTGCCTCTACCTCCCCAGTGCTAGGATGACAGGTGTATACCATCACACCTGATTTATGTGTTACTGGGGATGGAACCCAGGGCTTCATGCATGCTAGGGAAACAGGCAACCAACTGAGCCACATTTCCAGCCACCATCTACCACCTTTTATTTTCACCTGGGCAAAGTGGCTTTATTAGAGGAAACCAGAATTATATAGACTGTAAGAATAAGCAATGGGGTCCTTCTTGCTGAAGGTGGTAACAACACTGACAAAGCACAGGGTATATCTGTTGCTTTGCTTGGCCTGTCTTCCTCTCCTGTTTGGCAACCTTGGCGTTTAACTTACCACTTTTCCAGCATGAGCCAGAGAACCGTGGACTTGACCTCCCAACATGCAGCTAACTATTTTCAGAGTGCTCAAGGCCTCCATCCCACACTGACCTTATCCTCCAGCAGTGTGCATGCCAGGAGCATGATTTGATCTTCTGGGGCAATGCTTTCCATGAGGTCATGTGGGCCTTGATCTGGGCAACAGTCTCTTGGCCATTCACCTCAAGGGTATGTAGCTCCTGGGCATGGAAAGGACTGTATGTTGGCCACTGATCTGTGGACACAACTATGGATACTGTGACAATGAAGTCAAGAAAGAGCCCTACCCCTTTTAAGAGGTTTAAGCCCCACCCTTTAATGCCAGCACCAAGGGAGGCAGAACTTCGATTTCCAGGATAACCTGGAATACACATTGTGTGGCCCATGCTTTAATACCACCACTCAGAAGGCAGAGGCAGGTAGATCTCTGTGAGTTTGAGGCCAGCCAGGGCTACATAGCAGGGGGGAAAAAGAACCCCCCCCCAAAAAAAACCGAGGTAAGGGATTCTGGGGGTGAGGGACGTAACTAAGTGACAGAGCACTTGCCTAGCATGCTGGAGTGCCTGTAAATCTTACCTATCAAGATTCAGCCAAAAATCCCACCTGCCCGGCCTACCTAGTAGAGCTTCTTTGTCTGCATTCATGCAATTTTCAGCTTATCACCGTGATGGTTAG